AAGATGGGCAGCGAGGAGGCTTGCCGAATGTTCAGTCGGAGGTCATTCCAGAGAGAGGGACCAGCAACAGAAAAGGCTCGATCCCCTCTGAGCCTCCGTTTAGTTCTTGGTACTTCTAATAATGTGTGGTCCGCAGACCTGAGGCGCCGGGCAGGTGTGTAGGGGCGGATGAGCTCAGAGAGGTAAGGTGGCGCGAGGTCATTTAGAGATTTGAAAACAAAAAAGAGGATCTTGAAAATAACTCTAAAATGTATGGGGAGCCAGTGAGGGGATGCCAGAGTAGGCGTTCTGTGCTCCCTCTTACGAGTACCAGTCAAGAGGCGAGCAGCGGCATTCTGGACCAGCTGGAGGCGATTAATGGAGGACTGGCTGACTCCAAAGTAAAGGGCATTGCAGTAATCGAGCCGGGATGTGACAAAGGCATGAATTATTGTCTCAAAGTGTATACTAATATAATGTATTCTCACTGATCATAAAATGCCAAAAAATGCAGCCACCCTTGAAAGCTTTGACAACAACAAAATCTGCATTTCAATCGTTAGGCCTCCCTATGAGTATGGGAGAGTCCAGGCTCTCACAGCAGCGTTCTCTGTTAGTGTTTTTGCCGTGGACAAAACACACACCACATTTTATACATGTGCGCCATGCACATGTATAAAATGCTGATTTTCACCTGTAAACTGGAAAGACTTCAAGTCACGTGTTTCAAATCTAAGTGAAGTTGAGTGTGAATACCAAGTTGAAGTTTTGGCTTTGATCCGATGGTGTGATGTCTCAGACTCACCTTTGCCTTGGAGCCAGTCCTGTAAGGTCTCCGTTACATCAAACGAGAGCCACTTGTTATTCCACTGGTTGGTGATGAAGCGGGACGCCAGGTATCGGGCTGTCGGGCCCGTGCCGCGGTAGAGCTCGACGCGCTCCTCGGTGGGTATGGTGGGCTGCTTGATGAGTATCCGCAACTCGGCGGAGGTCAACAGCCGATAGTCACCCACGTTGCCCCGAATCTCTGAGATGTCGAAGGATAACGAGACGCTTTTGGAGTTCTTGGTGGTCTCAGAGTAGTTTTTCTCTGCGGGATTGAAATGAAAGCGTGAGTTTGGGGACAATTTTGCTTTTCCACACTGCGTAGATGTGACAAGTAAAGAAACGTTTTAAACAAAATTCAGTTTGGACGCTCCCAAAAATCCCTGACAATACATTTGGATGTGGCAGATCAGACTGGCATCTTCCCCCATCATCGGACCCAACTCACCACCAGGTGGTAATCAGTTGACAGCTCCACCCGGGTGTCCAAAACATGCGGCTGCAAATCCGAAGATACAACTACAAAGTCAATCATCGAACTGTGGCCAAGGGTGTCCTGGTGCCAAGTCCACCTATAGACAGACACCCTTATGTTTGAACATGGTGTTGATTATGGACAATCTGTGACCAGCACAGAACTCCAAAAACAAAACACCACTTAAGTTCTGTTCAGCGGGGGGCCGTTCCTCCCAAACATGCACTTCCAGGTCTCACTGTCATTGCAAGAGAGGTGACATTCCATGTCCCTAGAAGAGCTAGCTTCTGTAGCTGAGGATCGGACCACCAATAGCACTAGTGTGCCGCGGCACAGGGTTTGAAAAACACTGGTCTAAAGGCCTCTAGCCATCTAATTTATGATGTTTGACATCATATTTTATGGCCTTCTTATATTTAATGATCCAAGATACGATATTTGCATCATTTTATTGTCATGTATGTATAACTATAATGTCTCATATTCACATCGTATTTAATGGTCTCCAGCATTCACATTTAACAGCAGTCACAATGGCTGATATCTCATTCATATCACATCACATATGTTTTTTTTTTGTTCTGGTAATTTTAGATTTAAGTATCACAGTTAGATCCATTAGTAGGTTTTGGCTAGGCACCCTACAGTTGAGATTCATGCGTTTACCTTATGAAATTCACTGACTGGTAACACTGGAGGGTTCAAATGTACGCATGACATAACATAACTGTTTTTCATCCTCAATGCCTTTCCCAGCTGCGCGCACACATTAGCAAAATTGAATAAGTGCACGCTTGCAGAGCGTGAGGGCAGCCAAATAGGAATCGATTCCACCTGCGTCAATGTTGAGCCGAAAGAAAGAGGGTTTTGTTTTCTTACCTCTTTTTTTTTTTTGCGGGGGGACGTCCCCCTCCCCACCTCCCTTCAGAGGCCGACATAATACAGAACCATATTATAAATCAAGGCAGTCCTAAGTCTGGCCCGTGGGTCCACTACATATTTTTTTCTCTTTAATTGGCCCACCACATATTCCATTAAAAACACTGCACTCATAAAAGTTATGTTATACCACACTTTTTATTTGAATTTGTAAATATGTTTCATTAGCCTAATAGCATAATTGCACTCTTTACTCTCACAGTAAAATTGCAGTGTTTTCTTCTTTCTGATTTTTCTTGATGTCCTTGTAGATTCTCAGTCGGTCACCAGTCAGGCCAAGATAATCGGCAAGGGTTAAAATGAGGCAATTTTTAAAAATGACTTGGCCAATTATGCTATCAATTTGAATGTTACAAGATATAGCAGTTTTTAAAAAATACAAATCAAGATGTAACAACAGTTAAATGCCACAAACTATTGTTTTTTTACATTTATTTTTAAAAAATAAAACAAATTTAATGAAAATTTGTAAAATTGTAAATTAATTTCAATGTTATAAGACAGCCTGTGTTTTACTGCTTTTCATTTGTCATCATAATGAATTGTTTTTTTGCCTGTCTCTGAAACACAAGGTCAAGTGGCACCACCCCCCTCCCCCTTTTACCCATTTTTCTGCATCATGTCTTCAGTGAAAAAAGTTTGGACACCCCCGTCATAAATCTAAACGTTTGAAAGGATGAAACTGAGCAGAAATGGGTGACGGTGAGCTGGAAATGCACAGCATGGTTGAAAAGGAAGAAGAATGTATGTGGGATTAGTAGTAACGGTGGGGGGGGGGGGCAAAGGTGGTTGGGAGAGGAGTTTGCAATGGAATGTTTATCGATGTTGCTTGGTCTTGGCCCACACCCAAAATCCTCTATTTTGCTTGGGAATGCCAAAGCTATGATTCTCTTCTCTCCTCATTTCCCACATTCTTTCCAGGCTTGGATCCCGGCTGTACCAGGATTGCAGGTCCACTTCTTGTATAACACTTTTACGAGAATTTGCATTGATATGAACAAGCGAGTCAAAAAAAAAAAAGCCCAAAAGAAGCTGTTACGACTGAGGGGAAACCAGATGACACTTTGTCGGGTGCCGCCCATGCCAGAGGAGCGCTACTAAAGTGCAAAAGCGGGCTGTAATTGAGTGAAGTGAGATAAATGTGCCTAGGGTTAGAGAAGTGAAGTGAAACGGGAAGTGAGATCACTTCCGCTCTGTGCATATTGGCGTCAGTGCCAATCCTCACTTCTACTTTTTAATCAACAATCCAGGCCTTTGCTTGAACTTCTCCACTGAACACAACTATGTATTCCTTTTGCCTCCATGCTCACGCGCATGTGGTACTCAAGTCACGTGACTTGGCTCGAGTTAGACTAAAGTCGACTGTTTTACGACTTGGAAAGTGCTTGTCTGAAGCTTATAACTATGACATTTAACTTCATCTGTCACTATAACATTGGCAAAGACAGGTAGGCTACACTTCAGCTAACCAGTCAAACTAGCTAGCTGGTCAAACATTGGTTAGCTTCATCTCAGTTATGTGTTTAATTGAGACGGGAATTAAGCAAGAGGCAATATGAAGACTGGTTCAGGACCATGAAAACACTATTTCCAGAACGTGTTCGTACAGGTAACTAATGAATGTACGGATAGGCCCACTGAATGCAAAGTGGGTAATGTGTGAATGTATGTTGTAACTGAGCAAGATTTTATGACTGGATTTATGAGTTACTTCACCTAAGTAATGGCTAGACTTGAGTGGGAAGTTTTTGTTCATTTAACATTTCTGAGGTGTGAATAGTGTTTAGATGTTGTTGTTGTGTTACGATCAGTGAAAAAAAACATTTCATTATCACTCCGGTATACACAGAACAAAAATACACAAGAAACACAAAACTTTATAAGTGTATTTCTCTCAAAAATTGTGTACAAATCTGTCTAAATCTGTGGTCATCAGCACTTCTGTTTTGCCATTTAACAATATGCTGATAAGACAGCATGATTATTGCACAGGTGTGCCTTGTACCCTGTCAATTATTTTTATTTATTTATTTTTTATGTTTGTCCACATAGAGCAGGCGTTTTATGAAAGTGGGTCCCAGAGCTAAACAAACAACAAAAAAAAATTGAAAACGTCCTGGCATTGCCGTGTGTACAACCCATACGCATCTTTCCTGAGACGATGACGCGGTAGTTCCATTTCTTGTGTGATCATGTACTAACACCGCCAACAACAATGCTGGATCGCCATGTCTGATTTTCTTAACCTGAGTGGTGATCTGAGCTTTTGTTCTGAAGCAAAGTTCGACCTCGTCGTTCGGCGACACACATTTTTATATCGTATGGGCTTCTTATGCCGTGTTTGTTAGTGACTTCCCGTGGCTGCTTTGCAGAGCCACTTCAGGCCTTGCATATATACAGCATTGCAGCATTTTTAAAACCATTCTGTGTTTACGGGAAACGTGAAAATTGAATAGGTGGTGTCTGTTCCTGTGTAGACATGGCCTTAGGGTGCCGACAATAAAAGTCCTCCCTGCAATATGAAATGCAAAACATTTTCGCATTGAGTTGATTGTGTTGTGTTGATTGTGGCCTGTGGGAAGTTGGCCCAACCCTCTTCAATGGCTGTGCGAAGTTACTTGATGTCAGCAGAATTTAGAACTCGCTGTCCGATATGCCATTTTATTACTTGCACATATGTGACTTACTCCCCAAAACAAAAACTGACAAACACATGCACACACATGCACACAGGTGCTTGGGTGTGGGATGTTTTGAGCACTGATCTGCAGGTAAGCCGGGGACAGCTGTTGTGACAGGCAGGGAGGCTTCTCTGTAATTACCAGTGGGAGGAAATAGATTCCAGGAGGCAGCTCCACCCTCTCATGCACCCCCACCCCATTCCCTCAAACTCCCTGACATCACGCATTCTACACAGCAACATGGTGTAGTTGAAACAAAAACCATTGAGATGTGAAGGTTCAAAGAGGCTTATTACGTGCATCAAGGAGGTCCTGTTTTGAAAAAGGTGATCCTTGAAATGTTGACCTTGTTGACATTTTCTTTGTGTTCACGCCCACAACGGCGCAAACCAACCTTTTTTGAATGTGTCAGTCTAACCTGCCAATGTGCGGATTTACGCAGGCCCGTGAGCCAGACTTGCACAAGTAACAAAAATAGAGCATATCTTGTAGATGCGGAGTTTCAAATGAAAACTGGCAAGATTTGTCAAGTCATGTACATAGTTCATGTCAAAGGCCTTGTGCACACATCAAGATGGTCGAGCTGCTTTTGTCCCTATTTCGCACCTTACTGACCAAATACACATTATCTTATCTTAATTCATTAGCCCTGGTACACACATGGATGTTTCAAATCTTAAACGATTGTTTATCTGTTATAGACTGCACACTTGAAGATGAAAAAAAAATCAGGCATTTACTAGTTTTGATTGTATTGTGTGTGTTGTGTTCCAAAATATCGATTCAGAACACGGCACACATTAAGATTTTGTTCCATCATCGATCTAGAATCTAGTCCCCCGCCGTGATCACAGGTGATCTAATAAAAATGAAGAAACCGAAACATAGTAACAAATAGGAAACATTAGGCACATCATGAAAGAGGACACACAAGAGGTGGTAACGATAGAACTCTTGGGAAAATTTTTTTTTTTAGGAAAAAAATAAATCTCCACACTCCATCACCACAAGCTAGAGGTGAGTTCTCAAATTAAACTCATGTCTGGTGATATTATCATTTGTGTGTCAGGTAGGACATGTTTGTTTTTATTTATGCCTGCTTTCTTGTTCCCCAGCCAGGTTGCTTCTTGAGTGGCTACATTCATTTACACGTCACAATTCTTGGTGTCATGACTTGGGAGTCGTCGGCTTTCCTCACACACGAAGATTTTTGGTTGTAAATGTTGAACACATTGAAGACTGTCGGCACCGACACAGTTCGGATTCTTTATAGGGACAAATTCACTCTTAACACACCTCAGACCACAGGATTATCATGTAAGACAATCTTAGAAATAGAAGATAGACTGGTGGATGTCGTCATTGGTCAGGAAGGTGCTAGATTGTGACAATAATAGCGCAATTATCTTTATATGTGCACCAGTCTTGGAATTCCATTCGATCATGCGAGATTTCTCTCTTGGAGGCCTCGTTTTTAGACCAATGATGGAACAGAATCTTTATTTGCGGTGTGTGTTCATCGAATCGGAGCGCACCACACACAGTACAATCAAACCTGCTAAAGTGTCTGATTTTTGTATCTTCATGTGCATGGCCTGTAACAGATAACAGTTAAAATATCTCTTCAGATTTAAAGAATCCCCGCATGTGTACCAGGCCCAAGTCAAGCGGAGTCTCATGAATACAAAGTCAAAGTCAAGTCGAGTGTTTTATAAGTTTTAGCCAGGCAAGTCCTAAATCCCCAAATTGCAGACTTAAATCCGACTGAACTTGTGTCCCCCACCTCTGCCAAAACACAAGATTAAAACCATTACATCCTGAAATTCGCACCCCTGAAGAATAGTGTGTGTGGAAAGTGTTAGTCATGCATTTAAAACACACACACACACACACACACACACACACACACACACACACACACACACACACACACACACACACACACACACAAACCAAATTGAAAAACAAGAGAGTTAATGAAAAGAACAGAGAGAGGTTAGCTGGTGTCCCACGCCCTCTGCCTCCTCTTGTGTTTTTCTTACAATTGCAAAATATTCCTTCACGCGTACATTCATGCGGCTGGCCGGGGCCCAGCACGAGCCAGCGAGCATGAAGAGGGTTTGTTTTAAAAGGAAGCCATGCCGAGGCCTGGACTGTTCTCTGGCATTCCACAGAGGTAGGAAACATGCGCTCCCCACGGGCACCGGACCTGAGTCACCCTGGAGATCTCTGCGGCCATCAGCCGGCCTTCCTTCCTGCCGAGCTGGCCGTCACGCTCCCCAACATGCAAGCATGCTGATAGCCTGCTCAGGAAGCCTGGCGAGGGGGAATAACCCAGGGGTTGAGGGCCAAACTGTGTGCATGACTTGGGTGGAGGCTGCAGTGGTGAAAAGTAACCAAGGGCGACTATTTTGTTACTGGGCCTAAGTTGATTGGTGTTTTTTTTTTCCAGGTACACATACTTTACTTGAATGATTTGTGATGACTTTTTACACCTTACTTTGTCAAAATAGGCCGGTTTCTTTCCTCGACCTTTGCAGATTATAACAGGATGCAAATAGAGGGAAGTGAAGTCTACCGCGGTTGAGCTCTTGATGTGTGGTGCTTCATCGCTTTTGTGTGCACCTCAGAGTTGCTGAATGTAATTTTTTGCGGGGCAAGGGTCTACTTTAGTCGGTTTCAGCCACGTTGCTCGGTGGGCGGTTGTCCTGAACAACTCGAAATTGGGCCAGTTAACCACTCAAGTTTGTAAATAGTGGAGGCGGGGCAACTCAAGCCGGACGCCAGCGTGCATCTCAGGCTCTCTATTTTAGCCCTACCCAAAATAGTCAAACTGAAATGGTGATTTAACACTGTTATCTCGACATGTAGTTTTTGCACGTTTTGAGCAGTAATGCTCAATTGCCTCCAATGTATTTCAAAATAAATCTCTAAATTTACTTTACAAGGTCTAAGTAAATTTCAGTCTATCCTCTTACTTTTACATGAATCAGTACACGTAATGTTAACCGTCCTATTGTTTTTGTTTTTTTTTTTTTTTTTATACACCAATATCTGTACTCCTACTTGAGGACAGAATGCGAGTCCTTTTGTCACCTCTGAAGTGGGGTTACATGGAAAGTGCCCATAAAAAGCCGCAATGGAGAACAAGTGACAGGATATGCAAGGGAGAACCTGACGCTCGAGTTACAGGAAACCCCCAATCCCTCAGGAGAAAATGAAAGAGGGAATGAAGCCCGGTGAAAGAGTGCACGTCATGTCTTCATTTCCCAGTCGGCTCTTTTCCATCCGAGCCCTAGCGAAAAAAAAAAAATCATTTTTAAAAGCTCCTTTGTTCTCCTTCTGGATGGAGCCTTTCTTTTGAAGTGGTGGAGAAGGGAGGCGAACGTGGATGCGCAATGACGCATACAAACAAATGAAGATGTGTTTATGGTCAAAGATTGCAAGGCCAGATGCTTGGTGGTGCTAACGTGTAGAGCGTGTGATCTGGGAAGCCATCATGTTGCCTGGAGATGTTGGGTGGAGATCAGAAGATCATTTATGGGCCAAATTACGTTTGAATCGCAGCCATCGAACATGAGGTGGTGCGTTGAAATGTGAATATTCAACCAGATGCTCAATGATGACATGCGGCTGGCATGCTCTTACATTTTTTGTGGACTTTTGAACATCGATAAGACACACATAGTTGTTACCTTGCCAAGGCATGACAGAGGACTGAATTTTAAAAAATATATATTTATGGAAATGACATGAAACAAAAAAACAAAACTTTGATCAGGATCTTGTCGACTCATTCAGATTTTTTTTTTGTTTTTTGCGCAATATAACGCCATGGAATTCAGCAGCAATTCAGTTGTTTGACATTTGGCAATTACTTGACAATGCTCATTACCGCAACCTACATGACTGGCTGGCCAGTCTATTTTTGACCAAATCACCAAATTCTAAAAATGTTATTAATGTTTTTCTTAGTTGGTAAGATCAGGCAAAAACTACACAGACATACACACAATTTTGGAGGAACTGAATGCTTTCCAAGAAGGAAATATCGTAATTTAATTGCAATGTATATCCAGATAAAAATGAAGGTCGAGGAATCCATTGATTCCGTTGCAATCCGCTCGCATTGGGCACATGCGGTGCAATGATCCACCAGAAGCAGCACTTTGAGCTTGTTAAAGAAAAATTTGCTGCATGCGTCGATTCCCTTCATCATGCTCATTACCACCACCTAGAGGAGTGGAGTGGAACAATCTAGCACATCATGATTTTTCAGTTTTCAATCTCTGGCCTTGGCAGAGGTCTGTGGCATTAAAATTGTTCAATTATGACCCACAGATCCAGCAGATGGAGCTATGGTTAAAAAAAAAAAAAAAGCTTGCTGTGTGTGGCATTACATTAGTGATGTACAGGACTGCAGTAGAACGATAACATTCGTCATGTCATAATACTATTCTTTTGTTTCAAACAGTCACCTGGACATCTTTAGGATTACTTGGACCTTAGTGGAGGTCTCTACTCTATGGACATATGGAAAAAAGTATGACCACAGTGATGTAGACACCATTTAAATTACTCAGCCATGTTCATACATACCCGCAGCACAAGAAGTACCTGTTGAGCAGTTTTAGTGCTTTTTCAGCAACAAGAGACTGACTGACTTGTAAATTGGAATGTGTTTGAAAGTAAAGCTTATATTTCGCTGAAGTGGGAAGTCTCATTTGTGCAAGTCATAAGTAGGTCACAAGTTACTGTGGAAAATATAAAGCAATCAAGTCCCCGCAGAATTTGTAGTCGATTCAAATCACAACTTGGATTGAGCATAAGTCACACAATTTTTCTGTCACTTGGAACGTAGTAGCCGTACTTGAAATAGTTAGTGGGACTAAAACATTCGCAAACATATGGTTTTTAAATGGTCCCAAACCAGTCTTTGTATTGTCTATGACTTCGTTGCCTTGTCAATTAAACGTAAAACCGATAGGAAGCTGAGTTATTTTTCACCTCCTGTCAGTTGGCTGAACTGTGACGTTAACTGGACACTATTCTATTTTTCATGATTTCATCAAAAATCTCAAATCCTAAGGTGATCATTGGCAGAGGTCCCTCCATACTTGCTTCAATAAGTGGCCTTTGAACCCCACATACTGGCGGGTTGCCACACTCGCACACGATATCCAAAATTAACTTTTTTTTGTCAAAGCAAAACAAATGAGAATGCTACGTTTGAGACGTAAATCGTCAACTTGTCAAAGTCACTTAGCTTGAGTGAATTTGTATCTCATGAATACCAAGTCATGTCGAGTCATTCATAAACTTTAGCCAAGCAAGTGCCTAGTCTCAAAACCAGTGTGGGACTCGAGTCCTCCCTCCCCTGTGATATTTGGAATGGTTATCAGTATGTCAGGCAACTTTGATAAAGGCAATAAACCAGGTCGTACTCACTGGTCATGTTAAACTTGTGCAGCACCTTGGCGAAGTACTCCTCCTCCGCTTGCTCGGTGGAGATTTGCGTTTGGACCTGGGCCTGCTGCTCCCTTAGCATCTCCTTGGTGCTGTTGTAGAGCGACATCAGCGTAGAGGGGATGTCCTCCTTGTCTCCCGCCTGGTCCTCCTCGGGCTCTTTGGGCAGACGCAGTTTGCTGAGGATCTGACTCCTGATGGCTTCGATGCGCTTCTTCTTCACCATTTCCAAATCTAGGGTCTTGCACGTGGACATGCTGCTCACTCGGGCCACCATGTATACGGCCACAGCGATCAGGAGGGCCAGCTTCATGGCGCACCGCTGGAGATGTGCCTCGGCTGAGTCCTGCCTCCGCGCTTCTCTCCTGGCAGGCCTGGAGAGCTTGGATGAAGTGAATCACAGGCGGAAAGGTGCGACTGACGCAAGGTGTTTACCCTCGGGGTGAACAATTAAAGCAGTGTGGAGAGTCTCGCAGGTTCAGGACTGTGAATAGCTCCAAACATTTGGGTCTTCTGAAGGGCGGGCTACTGGAAGCCCCTGACTCAGCAAGGCAGGTAACACAATGACGTGTGAGCTGTCAAAAGGCTTGCACTCACACGTAAGCAGACTCCAATATTTTAATAACCTCCACACTCTCTATTCAGACCTTCTCCTCGCAGACGACCGCCCGCCCCGTCCATGTGTCGGTTCAGCGTTGTTCGGCTCCCCAAGCAGTTTCTCTTCACATGTTTTTTTTAAACACTCAGCCAAGTAAAAACACCACTTCCTCTGCTCCTTAACGCATCTTAACAAACCACCCGGGAGTATTCACCACACGGTGAGGTCCAACAAGACTGAACTAGGGAGCCCAGAAATGGGCAATCGGATGAGCTTTTTCAGAATAGTGAATTATTTGTTTTAGAAGTCACTCACAAGCTGGCGTAGAGGCCATTATAAAAATGATTTTCTCCCTTTTTTGAGCAACAACGGCATGTGACTTGCTGCAGCTTCACGTACATCCTCCGTCGCAATGGCTAAAAATGCTCTTTCCCGAACTTTGACACACCTTCTCCTCCAGACTCAGCAGCACCACTGGGGGACAGGGGGGCATCCGTGCGTGTCCTCCGTCTATCCATGCGTTTGGTTTCCACCTCAGTTTTGTTGCATCTCCGCCTCCCTGTGACACAGCTCCCGATACACGCCTATTTTTTTTGGAGCGGGAGGGGAAACTACTTTCTGCCTCTGCTTGTCACAGCTTGCTGGTGACAAAGTAATTTGTGGGATCTTGTGAGCTCAGCTAACATTTCACCCCACCCTGCGCCTCCTCTCACTCTCGAGCCTTTTCTGGTTCCTCGTCTAATCTAGCACAGAGCTCTCCGCCCAGGAAATGAGGCTAACCGTTGCAGTGTAAAACATCTGCTCTGCTGCCTTCTAGTGCACGTTGTGAAGGCTTTACTGAATGGTTGGCATTGGCATTGACACTGGCTGTCCCGCCGCCCTCCAACCAGGTCTGCGTTGTGGGTTGACCTCATGACTGACATGACAAGCTGTGCACAGCACCGGCGTCTCAATGACTGACCACCTCATTTACCCAGTGCGTGTGAAAGGCCAATGTCTGCCAGGCCAGAGACCATAAAAGCCCTCATCTAAAAGTGGAGCCTTTTGGAGATATAACAAGGCTGGTTCTGATGGTGCTCCTAGGTTAGGTATGGTAGGTAGGTGGTTAGGTGAGGAGGTATGTAGATATTTAGGTAGATTAGGTTGGGTTAGGTAAATGTAATTGTGATCATGAAAAAGAATGAACGGTTGACATACAAACCCACAAAAAGTAGCAAAAATAACCTCTTTAATAATCATGCCAGGTCAGTAATGGTGAGACAAAATGTCAAGATTGTTGTTGCTAGCTCACATGGAGGCACATTCATATTCATGTTTCCACTTACCGGATATCATTACATACAGTTCATGTGCTACATGTAGTTTTTGCAAGAGATGCTTATCATCTAATTGCAGTGTCATTGCAACTGGCACTTACGAATGTCATTTGGAAAATGGCCCACTTCTATTGTCTTGGAATTTGAAGGAGGTTTTCCTCCTACAAAACGAAGAAACAAACCACTTCTATTCCTTTGAGTTGTAAATGACCCATAAAAGTAACCAGTGAGCATTTTATAAAGTGATTCATCCAGGAAGCAGAACAACTCAATCAACTTCGATGGACATATACGCCGCTGTTTGATGTGGCACGTTTTGAGGAAAGGCTGGTCTGGCTTCCTTTTCCCATGCGTGTCACTTGTCATCTTACCACTGTAAAGAATGAGCCATTCATGAGACGCTGACACTCAATGGGTGTCTTTAACAGCAGCGGAGGCGAGACAAAACCCCCTAAAACATCCGCTGTAACACAAACAGAAAGAGAAAGATGATACAAACTTTTCCACTGAGTCAATAGATGATGCGTGACAGCAAACAAATGAATTGTCGTTGCCATCGAAAGCATGTGTGATGACATCTCCATTGTAAGGCATCATGAAAGAATAATGATAGTCACATGTGATCATATAGTATGTGGCTTATTTTAGAACAAAAAACCAAAAATAAATAAATAGATAACATTGAAGTTATATGTGATGTCTCTTCATTTTACAGATAAAGTGAAGACATCACACGAAGCCACAACTCACGGAAAAAAGAATACTCAATTATCGGTTGCACATAATTAACATGGGGTAAACTGACGTCATTTTCTGCTCTTCTCGAAATTAACAGAATAATGTATATGTTGGTTTAACACACATTTTAAGAAGTACGTGGTAAGTTAATTCAAACAACTTCCCCTACTGGAGTTTGTTTCCGTAGTTCTAGGTTGTACAGTACGTGTATATTTGTGTGTGGTAATATACTGCCCCCTGGTGGAAAGTCAGAAAGCACCTCCTGTTTTGTTGTGTGGGATTTCGGACATAATATAAGACTGGTATATTCAACTAATGAAGAAAATCAAAAACATAATTTGAAATAAAACTCTGAGGGTATGTGCAATGTTTTATGTCCACGGTTCTTTTTGCTTTTACTTTGAGTATTCGTCAGAAACGTAGGGAAGAGGATTAGGGCCAGTGAAGCTCCCTAGGAGTCACTCGTGTATTCTGTTATTTATGTATTTTATGAACAACGAGTTTGAAATAAATCACTGGATTTTGTATATTATAGTATTTCATATTTCGCATTTCACACTAATATTATAAAAAATACGTTTTCGGTCTGCCGTCTCGCTCCATGGTTAACGCACAAATAGCGACGTGAATTGCACTTTTACGCCCCGAGTCGCGCTTTCTGCGTTGTTTCTTGGAAGCAGTCCCCAAACGTCGCCCATTTGTTTGCCATGGTTTTTCAATGTAGACGGCGCCGAATAAATCATACTCGTGTGTTTGCTGGGGGGAAGATCGAGTTCGAGGCGACGGAGCAGAGAGAGACAGCCGGACACGGCTCACCTCACTCGTGGGGTAGTTTGGAAGACCGTCGGTGGATGCGAAGTTGTCTCACTGCTGACTCGTCCATGCAATGCATAGGTGAGTGCACATCTGCGCATTTCAACATTAAGCGTTCTATGTTGGTCATTTTTACCTTTGGAAACATTTTAGCTGTGTGAATGCAAATATAACGAAACTTTCTTAAATTGGTGAGTTTTGTCTGATGCTATTTCCAATTTCAGCACATTGAATTTATCAATAAAATAATGTTAACAGTAAATATTACCCGATGACTCTACCGTGATCGCTTTTGCCCCACTGAAACCTACGAAAACTAGATTTTTAAATTTGTTTCACAATTAATGTGAAATTGCTTTTATTATTGATTCAACACTTGATTTTTCCCCCTTGATCGTCGATGATAAAAACTGATTTTTGTCTTCAAGTTTTATTGTGATTGTCGAAGGTGCTTGACTCTCAGCATTGACATTAATAAACAGCACCGTTATGATGTCAAGTGATTAAACTGTTCAACAAACTTTGGCTACATTTTTTTCATCAGTGAAGCAAGTAAGCTTTTCTGAATATTTTTTATGCACTGATTCCGAATTTGTCCTCGTTTTTTTTTTCTGTAGCACATCAGGTTTTCGTGATAATAATAACAATAATAATAATACGATTTGTAATATATTTCATGACATTTGTGAATATAGATTTAGATTCGGCAAAAGATGGATTTTTTTCTAAATCGTTATTCAAGTAAATTAAATGCATGGTGTAATCCATATTGCGCAAGCTTTTAGAGGTTAAACTAAAAAAAAAAAAAACTTTAAAATATCTCAAAAACCTGATGTGGTGGGGAAGAAAACGAGTGAAGACATTTTTTAAATCTGCATCAAAAATACATTCAGGGACACAGAGAAATGTCTCTGATTAAAATTTGCTGTTGACCAACAAGTGTTGGACAATTAATATTATATACACTGTAAACACTTTATACTGTTGTTGTTTTTTCCCCCCAGGTGTTAACCAGGCACTGCTCGATGGAGAAATACGAGAAACTGGCCAAAATTGGAGAAGGTTCTTACGGCGTGGTCTTCAAATGCAGAAACAGAGACACCGACCAAATTGTCGCTATCAAGAAGTTTGTCGAATCGGAAGACGATCCCATGATCAAGAAAATTGCACTGAGGGAAATTCGCATGCTAAAGGTGAACAGATGATTCAATCTGACATAAGATACCTGGAGGTGGCAGTGTGTTTTAAGGACTTCACATGCATTTGCAGATTGAGATGAAACTGGTGTCAAGGGTTAACTTTTTCCAACTTTTAGTGGGGGGTGGGGGTGGGGTGTAGGTCAACCTCAGTTATCCGTTATCCATTATGATTGACTCTGCATCTTCTTCTTGTCCCGCAGCAGCTGAAACACGTTAATTTGGTCAACCTGCTGGAGGTGTTCCGTAGGAAACGACACCTCCACCTGGTCTTTGAGTTCTGCGAGCAAACGGTCCTCAACGAGCTGGAAAAACACCCCCGAGGGTGAGTAACGTGCTGCAATTGGGCCTTGGGAAATCCATCTCCATTGATTTTCTTGACCACTTCTTAGTGCAGTGAAAACCATGTTGCATTTCTGCCTATGCAGGAACAAAAAAACATTTTGAACACTGATAAAAGACACCCGGTTGAAGCTCCCTTCCAAATAAAACAGTGTCTGTTTGAGTCCTCCTCGTATTCATGAAAATTGACGATTAAAAGTTGTACCTTGCAAGAATAAAGCCGTAATACTATGATTAAAAAGCCAGTTTGATGAGATGACAGATTAAAATGAGAAGTTTTACCTTATAACCACCATTCACAACCTCAGTTAATAGAACATCAGACTTTGAATCTGAGGGTTCAGGGTTCGAGCCGCTGGTCAGGTGAGCTGACTCTCAAGCTCGAATACACTATCTTTTTATAAATCCGCATTTAAAAAAAAAAAACTTTGGTCATTGCCTAAGTTTTGGTATTATCCTTCATTTCATTTGTTTCATATCTTTCAAGAAGCCTCACAAAGTAAGAATTTCATTGCTCAGTGTTACTGTTGAGTATTCACTGTGCATAGGACAAACAAACTTTGAATCTGGAATTTTTATTCTGGAAATGGCGCCTTCATTGTCTAAAAAGTAAGACGATAGTCTTGAAAAACAGTTTTTGTTCGATAAAGAAAATACTTCCTCATTAGTGTGCCTTTTGTTGTAAATAAATGACTATTCATGTCGAGATGTCAGATTTATGTGACGATACGTTACAATCACAAGTCTTTAGTTGGCCCAAGCTAAAGTGCGGAGGAGTAATTTTTTTCATTATTGTTTTGTGCCGCTTCCCCCCCCCCCTTTTTCTTTTTTTTTTCAACGATACATCATTTTTGACAAATTATTTAGCAGAGCCCCAGTTTGAGAATCTTTGAAGTAGAAAGTACAGCCGCAGCTAAGTAACGGAGGTCAGTGGTTGGCTCAATGTTTGCAATGACCGTGCGTGGAAATCTGCTAATGTAATCTCACGTCACACACAAGTCAGCTGTTTCAGGCCAGCCGACCTTTTTTTTTTTCCTCCACGAGGTCACGGCACAGAAACCGTAGCCGCCCTTGGTAACCACCGCGTTTGCTGCCTTTCGGGACAGGCTGAGTGTAACCGTGGGGATGAGCAGCCCCTCCTCTTTTCAAATGGAGTAGGAAAGGATATGCAGTGTTTCTCCAGTTCAGTGATTCCCAACCACAATGATGCCATGAGAAGTGATGTTCGATACCAATTTTTTTACTGCTGCTATTGGCAATATCGATCTTGTACTGATACTTTTGTGTTCCACAAGGTTTCTTGCCTCTACTTCTTACAAATATCACAAAGTGAGTCTTGGCTGTTTGAAGAGCAGAAATAGCCCCAGACATGACTCCATTTACGAATAACCCACTTACCCTGACGACAAAGGAATTCCCATCATGCGCATCACTTAGACAAGATCTCAATTTACTTTTCAAATGATGAACGTATCAAAAGTATCAATGTTTTTGGTTTGACAATTCATTTTAGAGCCTAAGGAGCTGGTGTTGGATACATCTGTATTTCAGTATCAATGCACACATCACTAAACGTGAGATTTTTCTCATGCAAGACTGGTGCCTTGTCCTTCCACAGTGTTCCAGAGGCTCAGCTGAAGAGCATCGTGTGGCAGACGCTACAGGCCGTCAACTTCTGCCACAAGCACAACGTCAGTAAACACAACAAAAATCCACTAAAAGGTCTTGTGTGTTTTACCCTACCACCCTGCATATCAGGGCACAATCTTTGACACGGCTCTTCAAATTTATCTAACTTCATTGGTTCTTGGCAGAGATGGTAAAAGTCACATACTGGACTTGATGAGAAATTTCAGTCTGACTCAAGTCATGTGACTCCACCGGTCATTGGTCTGCGGGCGTATAAATAGCACGCTGTGATTGTGGTGTGGTGTTGAGTGTCACCACTAACATGAGACGTGTGTTGTGTTTGTGTTGCAGTGCATCCACCGCGACGTCAAGCCTGAGAACATCCTCCTCACCAAGACCGGCGTCATCAAGTTGTGTGACTTTGGGTTCGCTCGTATTCTGAGTGAGTCAGTTGCGTGTGTGTGTGTGTGTGTGTGTGTGTGTGTGTGTGTGTGTGTGTGTGTGTGTGTGTGTGTGTGTGTGTGTGTGTGTGTGGCCTTAACGTGCATTTACCAACTCTAATGACTTATTCAGCACCATCTCCTCAGTTTCAATGCTTCACCCCGAGTCAATTAGCACGACCCTGTGAGCTGTGTGGACCGTTGACCCATCCTGTGTTGGGTTTCCGTGTTGTGTTACCATACATGCTGTCATGTAGACCCTCAGGAGTCCTTGTAATCCCTCCACAAGGTTGTCTTATTTAGTACTTACTATAACATAAGTCCCTGTCCCACTACCTATCAAAGCAGGCTCTTTCCTGTCGAGGAGGACAATAAAGACCGCCCATTTTTGTTGGGTTCATAGATAGTATCCTAGGCGGTAGAGTATTCCGTGTTGATACTATGCATCGAATCTTCACATGCATCACGTGTAGACAAATATAACAATGCTCACAGGCATATATTCGTTGCCCTCTGTGAAGAAGGAATAATGTTACTGCAGCTTACTGAGGAACTATATCTGTCGGTCTGTATGATATTAACCCCCTAAAATTTGAGACACCCTGCCGCATTGCACATTTGGTTTTGTGTGTATTACATGTTGTGTGGTCAGCGGGACCAGAGGACGACTACACGGACTATGTGGCGACGCGCTGGTACCGGGCTCCTGAGCTGCTGGTTGGGGACACTCAGTACGGCCCCCCTGTGGACGTGTGGGCGCTGGGATGCGTCTTCGCCGAGCTGCTCAGCGGGAGTCCACTCTGGCCCGGGAAGTCCGATGTGGACCAGCTCTACCTTATCCGCAAAACTCTTGGTATGCCGCCACCCATTCCCTAAAGATTCCACATGTCAGACTATGATTCTTCCCTCGTGGCAGGGGACCTCATCCCTCGACACCAGCAGGTGTTCCGGTCCAACGTTTTCTTCAGCGGAGTCAGTATTCCTGAACCTGACACCACAGTATGACTCACATCTGCCCCAAACGTTTGTTTCTCCAAACATACTGTACATTGTGGAGTGCTGAAGTTATCACGCTTGTTCTTGTAAATAGGAAACTCTGGAAAAGCGATTCTCCGGTTCATCACCCCTGGCTCTTCAAGTCATGAAGGTATGTCCAAATTTTCCACACACCTCGGACTGGTTGCCAATCATTCGGACTGAAATTCACAACTGTGGACAATTAAGAGTCTTCAATGAACTTGCAAAGCTCTGTACCCAAAGCAAGAATCAGTATATAAAAACAAAGACAGTTAAAACAATAGATTAATAAAGACAGTGTATATATACACTAAAACAATGCCGAGTCTCTTGCTGAGTCAAATCCCAAAGAAAATAAAACATGTTTTAAGTTTTAAAAATGGACACAGAGGAGGCTTTCCTACTGTTTGGTGGGAGGTCATTCCAAAGAGAGGGACCGACAGTGGAAAAGACTTGATCCCCTCTGAGCCTCCACTTAGTTCTCGGTACCTCTAGTAGCATCTGTTCTGCTGACCAGACTCACTGGGCAGGTGCGTAGGGGTAGAGGAGCTCAAAGAGGTAAGGTGGGTGAGACAATTTAAAGATTTTAAAAACAAATAAAAGACTCTTAAACTGAACTCTAAAGTGGATGGGGACCCAGTGAAGGTAGGCCAGAATTTAAGTTACTGTATTTGCTCCATCCTATGAGCCCAGGATTAGAAGGCAAGCAGGAGCATTTTGGACCATGTGGAGATGCTTGAGGGAGGAGTGGCTGACTCCAAAGTAAAGTGCATAACAGTAATCCAGTCGAGATGTAACAAAGGCAGGAATTACTGTTTCTAAGTGCTGCTGTGAAAGGAGAGGCTTTAGTTTAGCTAGCTGTCTAAGACACAAAAAAGATGGATTTAACAATAGCGCCAATTTCCTGGTCCAATTTCAAATAACATCTCCTGATTGCGGGTAGCGTGGGATCAGTTCCCGCTCAGTAACGGTGTGGATGTGGGTGTGAAGGGTAATTTGTCCCTATATGTGCCCTGCGACTGTCTGGCGACCAGTTTAGGGTGTAGTCTGGCTTCCGCCCCAAGTCAGCTGGTCTCCAGCAACTCCCGCAATCCTCTTCAGGATAAATGCGGTGTTGAAAATGGGGGAAAAAAAATTAAAGTAGCTGACCAATTTTGACACCAGTTTGAGACTGTTGGCTTTAGGTATGATAACAGGTAAGAGGCCAGGAGGCCCAAGTCAACAGGGTGAGATGTATAAGTCCCACTGGGACCAACCACCATGACCTCTGTTTTCTGTTCTTTGAAATTCAAGAAGTTCATTGCCATCCGGGCTTTGGCATCCACCGCGACGTCAAGCCTGAGAACATCCTCCTCACCAAGACCGGCGTCATCAAGTTGTGTGACTTTGGGTTCGCTCGTATTCTGAGTGAGTCAGTTGCGTGTGTGTGTGTGTGTGTGTGTGTGTGTGTGTGTGTGTGTGTGTGGCCTTAACGTGCATTTACCAACTCTAATGACTTATTCAGCACCATCTCCTCAGTTTCAATGCTTCACCCCGAGTCAATTAGCACGACCCTGTGAGCTGTGTGGACCGTTGACCCATCCTGTGTTGGGTTTCCGTGTTGTGTTACCATACATGCTGTCATGTAGACCCTCAGGAGTCCTTGTAATCCCTCCACAAGGTTGTCTTATTTAGTACTTACTATAACATAAGTCCCTGTCCCACTACCTATCAAAGCAGGCTCTTTCCTGTCGAGGAGGACAATAAAGACCGCCCATTTTTGTTGGGTTCATAGATAGTATCCTAGGCGGTAGAGTATTCCGTGTTGATACTATGCATCGAATCTTCACATGCATCACGTGTAGACAAATATAACAATGCTCACAGGCATATATTCGTTGCCCTCTGTGAAGAAGGAATAATGTTACTGCAGCTTACTGAGGAACTATATCTGTCGGTCTGTATGATATTAACCCCCTAAAATTTGAGACACCCTGCCGCATTGCACATTTGGTTTTGTGTGTACATGTTGTGTGGTCAGCGGGACCAGAGGACGACTACACGGACTATGTGGCGACGCGCTGGTACCGGGCTCCTGAGCTGCTGGTTGGGGACACTCAGTACGGCCCCCCTGTGGACGTGTGGGCGCTGGGATGCGTCTTCGCCGAGCTGCTCAGCGGGAGTCCACTCTGGCCCGGGAAGTCCGATGTGGACCAGCTCTACCTTATCCGCAAAACTCTTGGTATGCCGCCACCCATTCCCTAAAGATTCCACATGTCAGACTATGATTCTTCCCTCGTGGCAGGGGACCTCATCCCTCGACACCAGCAGGTGTTCCGGTCCAACGTTTTCTTCAGCGGAGTCAGTATTCCTGAACCTGACACCACAGTATGACTCACATCTGCCCCAAACGTTTGTTTCTCCAAACATACTGTACATTGTGGAGTGCTGAAGTTATCACGCTTGTTCTTGTAAATAGGAAACTCTGGAAAAGCGATTCTCCGGTTCATCACCCCTGGCTCTTCAAGTCATGAAGGTATGTCCAAATTTTCCACACACCTCGGACTGGTTGCCAATCATTCGGACTGAAATTCACAACTGTGGACAATTAAGAGTCTTCAATGAACTTGCAAAGCTCTGTACCCAAAGCAAGAATCAGTATATAAAAACAAAGACAGTTAAAACAATAGATTAATAAAGACAGTGTATATATACACTAAAACAATGCCGAGTCTCTTGCTGAGTCAAATCCCAAAGAAAATAAAACATGTTTTAAGTTTTAAAAATGGACACAGAGGAGGCTTTCCTACTGTTTGGTGGGAGGTCATTCCAAAGAGAGGGACCGACAGTGGAAAAGACTTGATCCCCTCTGAGCCTCCACTTAGTTCTCGGTACCTCTAGTAGCATCTGTTCTGCTGACCAGACTCACTGGGCAGGTGCGTAGGGGTAGAGGAGCTCAAAGAGGTAAGGTGGGTGAGACAATTTAAAGATTTTAAAAACAAATAAAAGACTCTTAAACTGAACTCTAAAGTGGATGGGGACCCAGTGAAGGTAGGCCAGAATTTAAGTTACTGTATTTGCTCCATCCTATGAGCCCAGGATTAGAAGGCAAGCAGGAGCATTTTGGACCATGTGGAGATGCTTGAGGGAGGAGTGGCTGACTCCAAAGTAAAGTGCATAACAGTAATCCAGTCGAGATGTAACAAAGGCAGGAATTACTGTTTCTAAGTGCTGCTGTGAAAGGAGAGGCTTTAGTTTAGCTAGCTGTCTAAGACACAAAAAAGATGGATTTAACAATAGCGCCAATTTCCTGGTCCAATTTCAAATAACATCTCCTGATTGCGGGTAGCGTGGGATCAGTTCCCGCTCAGTAACGGTGTGGATGTGGGTGTGAAGGGTAATTTGTCCCTATATGTGCCCTGCGACTGTCTGGCGACCAGTTTAGGGTGTAGTCTGGCTTCCGCCCCAAGTCAGCTGGTCTCCAGCAACTCCCGCAATCCTCTTCAGGATAAATGCGGTGTTGAAAATGGGGGAAAAAAAATTAAAGTAGCTGACCAATTTTGACACCAGTTTGAGACTGTTGGCTTTAGGTATGATAACAGGTAAGAGGCCAGGAGGCCCAAGTCAACAGGGTGAGATGTATAAGTCCCACTGGGACCAACCACCATGACCTCTGTTTTCTGTTCTTTGAAATTCAAGAAGTTCATTGCCATCCGGGCTTTGATTTGCTCCAGACAGGACAACAGTGGCCTTAAGGAGAAAGCGTCCTTTTTGCATCGTGGGACGCAGATCTGACTGTCAGCCGCTCAGCAGTGAAAGGAAATATGCTTTCTTAAGATGGAACCCAGGGGCAGGAAACTGCAGGGGCCCCAAAATTGAACCCTATGGAACACCATACGATAGTGGGGCAGCCTGGGACAAAAAGTCCTGCCTACCAAGTAGGAACTAAACCACTCAAAAGCATTACCACTAATGCCCACCTGGGCTGCAAACTCGACCAAGCTTATCTTAGCTCCTCCCCGACAGACAAAGCTGGTCTTTCAGTCGAGATGTCACTTAATTGTATCCCTTGACACCAAGTACTGTACAAACATTCTGTTTATTGGTCTATCTGTATTTGTTTATGATTAGTCGTGCTTGGTGATGGATCCCTCACTCAGGCTGTCGTGCGAGGAGCTGCTGGCGCTACCCTACATACATGAGGAAGGCGGCACCGCCTGGGCCCGCGAGGGGGAACAACGTCTAATGAGACGCCATGACAAAGGCCCCCGTCGCAAACAGACAACGGTGAGTGGGAGGAGCTGATGTAAAGCAGGGGTTCTCAAATGTTTTGGGGCCAGGAACCTCTGCAGCTATTTTTATTTTCCAAGCACCACATAATCCTCATGCTAATTAAACACAATTACCATGTGTACCTGCAGATGCCATTGGAATTCATAATTGAAACACTAGATTTTTATCCAAAATAGGCCCGTTTTGAATTCTTTTTTTTTTTTTTTTTTTTTTTTGAGAAAATGGAATGTTATTAGAATAAAGGCAATATACACTGATACCATTTCTCTTCGTGTGTCTAGGCTCAATACCTGCCACAATTAACAAACAGCAACATGTCGCCGGCGCCGGATGTCAAGAAGCCAGCGAAGCACAAATATCACCTGCCCAACATTTAGCCAACAACCAGAAACCATCTTTCTTTTCATCTTTGTTTGGGAGGGACATTCTGGTCTGGTAACGCTGATGACGCCAAGCTATAGTTCTGAAAAATCATTACTCCATTTTTTACTTAAATTTGACATACACGTGAGCTTCGGGTTATGTTTCTTGACACCCTCTCTATAATAATTTTTGGCACAATACTTCTTTCCCTTTCGGCTTTTCCCTTCAGGGGTCGCCACCGCGAATCAGCTGCCTCCATCTAACCCTGTTTTGTGCATCCTCTTCTCTCACATCAACTATCTTCATGTCCTTTCTCATTACATCCATAAATCTCCTCTTTGGTCTTCCTCTCGGCCTGGCACTTCAAGACTCACAATATTGTGGCACTCCATTTGATATCAAGTCAAGGTACCGCTGTATTTGCTTGTGGTGCGTTCAGGGACTGCAAACATGCTGACGGTACATTCAGGGTTCATAATCACAGCGAACACCCACATCTGTATATTAAGTCAAGTTTGCGAGAATGTTATATTTTTACGACAATAGTTAATCCAATCATGCGCCTTGATTAAAAAAAAAAGTTCAGTACTGAATTCATATGATAAATAATGATGTCATTAATGCGACCAATGAGTCAAGCTTATGTAGTTTTATTAATAAAACCTGCCAAGACAGGATGTTGATGTTGATGTCTCACTATTAACAATAATCATAAAGTAATTATATATGGGACCACTGACAGATTGAGGCTGCATTTTATTATAATGTGTTTTGGTGACAAGAAAGTGTAACATTCCTGTATACTGTAATAGTAAGACGTGACAGGAGTAGGGAAAATGAAGTTGTGGCATGAATTTTCGTTAAGGCAGGATTAGCTGTTGCTAATTGCAGTTGCGTGCCATTACATGGATTGCTACAAAGATTTCACAGTGATATCAAGTTGACCGACAACAGCCCCCAGCCCAAATGGCCGGCACCTTCTGAAAAGGAATTTGGGGGTGCTGATAACGCACCCAGATGCTTTGACGTGCCCAGATCAAACGAGACTTTAAACATGATACAATTTCGCCCATAGATTCCTCTAACACCGACCATCTCAGCAAAAGAATGATTTAAAATGTGTTCATTTATATGAATTGTTTATCATCACATTTTTAAAATTTGTAAAGGTCATGTAAAAAAAACAACAACAAAAAAAACATTGATGTGTTGTATTCACATTTATCTATGGTTTTAACTGTGGTTGTTAAACTAATTAAAGCAAGTTTTTAGCTCGGAAGATAAGCTTTGTGTTTTTCTGATCGTGGCATTTCATCATGTCACATGAAATAGAGGCCTTGTCATTTTCTAAAAAGCAGCAAACAATCAGCAAAAGTGTGACGAGATTGACTTAACGTCAAAGTGTTGCTCACTGAATAATCAAGAGCGAGGCGTTGCAACAATCTTGTACCTGCGCGGCACATTGGCAAAGCTGCTGTACTCGGGACTCAAGTCCACGCTGTCCGGTCCGCCGTTGTGAGAAAAGACAAAGTTCTGCAGGAGTGACACCATGAAGAGGAAAATCTCCATGCGAGCCAACGATTCCCCGACGCAGGCCCTTTTCCCTGCGGGAACGAGCCACAAAGACGGGTGAGCTAACCTGAAGCATGCCGCATTTCAATTTGCATTTGCCTTTCAAAGCCATCCTTTTCCTAAACGGCTTCTCCTCTTCAGGTTCGTGAGTCCATCTCAGAAAAGACGGGATGACTGTATAGCGACGGACTGACCACTAAACAACCACAGGATGAGTTGAGTGGGAACAGCTACGTGGACCACTACACTGTGAGTGGCCAAGATAGTTCACTTCTCGTTTAACCAGGAATTCTCACACTTTAATTTAAATGTTAGTGGCTTTCGGCGTTCGTCATTCACTCCATGAATTGCGTTCTCTTTTTTTATGGTCGGGACGTGCTTTCAACCTACCGAGACACTCTGTTTATGCCAGACATATACAGTACAGGGTGTCAGGCGTCTAAATTGCCAAGCTCCAACGTATTGGCATTTCTCTCCCTCACAATCAAGGCGACAAACTGACATTCACTGCCTATTCCTTAAATACTCCTCAAATATGTGCTGGGCTGTGTTTTCTATTCTATTGCTAATTTATTATATTTATTCTACAAATATACTGTATTGCTAATGCTATATTTTGTATTGCACTGTTATTGAACTGAATTTTAGGGACGAGCTGGGCCAGACAGTATTGTACACTAACCCATTGGTTGAAAAAACGTACTTGACGTGTGTGTGTGTGTGTGTGTGTGTGTGTGTGTGTGTGTGTGTGTGTGTGTGTGTGTGTGTGTGTGATCTTGCCTCCATTGTGTGTTCTGGTTTCAAGGTACAGCACTATCACTGATTTTTTTAAATTTTTATTTTTTTAAACTGTTACTTTATTTTGTTTTACGACCTATTTATTTAGAGTGTAATTCAACTGTAAACCGCTAGTGGCACACTATTTTGTTTGACACTAAATGTGACTAAAGAAGAGGAATGGGAAAGTATTTCAGCTCATTCTAGTTTTTATTGAAGGTTAATGAATGTCACTCCTCTTCTATCCTGCTTTTTCCACCTACAGAAAACAACGGTGGAAGATTCATTTTATAATGTACATCTTTGGGCAAGATTATTGATGGATATTGTGAGATAAATCTGTTAGACTGGGGGAAAAAAAGATTTCTTATTATAAAGTAGGCTGTTGATTTTATGCTGGCTATTTACAGTATTAGATATTTACATTTTATATTCCCATATTCTCTTTTTAGATTATATTCTTTGGTGCTTTTGCAATCCTTAAATCCCGTGACTCAGAGTTTGGCTTGCTGTTTTTTGGGGAAGTAAACGCAGAGGGATCGGGACACTGTAAACTATTTCAGCATTATCCCTTGTTTTTGCTCTCAAAGTGCATTTGTATTAGTTGTTGTTGTTGTTGTCTACTTTTTAAAACTCTATTTGGGGACCTGCTTTACCTGCGGAGAATGGAAGAAACGCCGGATTATTCTTGAAGTTGCCATTGTGGTCCAGGAAGTGTTGAGGGTTGAAGCTCCACGGTGTGGCCCACTGCTTCTCCTCCTTGAGCACCGAGTGTAACAAGGGGATGATGAGTGTGTCCTGTGGATGGCAAACACAAATGTTCAACAACAGCAACAGCAGCAGCAGCACAGAGAGATGATGCTGACCTTCGGAATGATGTATCCCCTGAAGGAGATGTCCCGAAGGGCGTAGTGAGGGAGGCTCATGGGCACGATGTCCATCAAACGCTGGACTTCGTGGAGAACGGCGTCACTGAAGGGGAGGGACTTCCTATCCTCCATGTTGGGACAACGCCGTCCGATCACAGCGTCAATCTCCTGCTGCATGCTCTCTGCCGGACAAAGAAACTAAGTCAGGGTCTGAATGCCAAATTAAACGACAGTAACCCTTATTATTCACAGAAAATTAGGACAGGGTAGAGTCAACCTCCCCTTTGTGTTTTATTTTCTGGCCACTTTTAACCATTATAGTTAACGAAATAACAACAAAAAAAAAACATTTTCGTTAACAAAACCTAAACAAAAATGCTTCAAAAAACCTAATTGAAACGACATTTCACCTATACACACAACACCGCTGAGTTCTGTGTCCACATGTCTTCGTCTCGCACGTTAAACTTCACTCACAACTGTTGGAATTGCTGTTCATTCATTTCAAGTTTTACATCCCATCGTACAACTTTCAAAGTAAGTTTGTGCTAACATGGGCTGCTAGCTTACTCTTGTGTCGCGCTTACTATAGATCATACTATTGTATACACATATGATCAAAATTTTAGTCATGTAATTCAGTGTACGTTTGTGACAGTTTCCTGTGTCTGACCTTGGACTTTAGGATATTTGATGAGCACACTGAGGGCGAATCGGATGGTGGAGCTGGTGGTTTCTGTTCCTGCCAGGTACAGATTCAGCACAGTGGACACCAAGTTGTTGTAGTGGAACTCAGTGGTGGAGAGGTGTTTCTCCTAAAGGCGAAAAGTCAAACAGCCATGATTCCCCCCCCAAAATGAAGAGGGTGTTGGACAGCGAAGGGGAGGATTCCAGTTGACACCTGATCGAGTCTGGTTAAGAAGCAGTCGATGTAATCTCTAGGACACCCCGGGCTCAGTGTGTTGCGGTGCTCCTCAATCTTCTCCATGATAAAAGCTCTCAGCTCTTCCATCCCGGCAAAGATTTTGTGGTGCTTTCCAGGCAGCCACTCCATCAACCGAGGGAAAACGTTGTACAGCTGTGAAAGGAAAGGAACCGAATGAGAATTCTTCATTTTCTTCCTCGTTGCGTGACTAAAGATCCTGTTGACCCACTTGATTGCAAGCAACATCTGTAGTTGCTCTATTTTTGTCCAACTGGCTTTTTCATTTAAACGCTTTCATTACTCTTTCCTACCTTGGCTTTCAATTAATTTAACCCTTTCATTCACCCTGTAACCTGATATCATGGTAAGCTGTCCACTGTAGTAACTGCTGTCCCTGAAAGGGTTAAAGCTTTGTCCCACTTGCACAGGTGAGGCAAGGCAACCTCAGCAATATATTTGTGGGTTGAAATCGCCTACATGGGGTCAAAACTGTAAAATCTGGACCCAAAACATTTTGAGAACCCCCCATTGGTTTTCTCTCACCTGCCCGAAGGGACTGCTGCCGAATCTGATGGTCTCAGAGATGATCTGCAGGAGGTGCAGGAAGTGCTCGTCGTCGTAGGCAAAGCGTTGACCAAACACCAGGCAGCAGATCACGTTGGACACGCTGCAGCTCAAGAAGTAGCTCGGGTCAAAGGGCATGGCTGGCGAAACAAAAGAATAATTTACAGTGGTACCTTGCAAATGACCCAAATTAGGAGTTCTTCCAGTTAAGAGATGTTGCCTATCAGATTTTTTTGTCCAACTCGGGTAAAACTTAGCTTCCTCCTAACATACAAAGATTGTAGTCTCTCTGTCAAGACTGAGGTTTTTTGTCGTGGTGGTGGCAGAAATGGAGGACCAAAATTCAGAAAAGGAAGGAGTCGAGGCAGAAGTATTTACTTACAGTAAAGGAAAACAAGGTGCATACACACTTGACATTGATTTCTACTTTCCAATCAACAAAGGCTTGGCGTCATCTCATGGCATTTTAGAGTGTGACAGAAAGTGCCCCCAAAACACACCAAGGGGCGTGACGAGACAGGCGTTGGCTGTAGTTGAATGGAAAGATGGAAAGCTATCTTCTACAAACCTTTGGTGGCGTCGAAACGGGCCACCAGATGTTTGCTCTCCTCCTGGATCCACTCCTCCATCCCCTTGCGGCCCATCCCAAAATCCCGCAGGGTTGTCAGGGTGAAGCGACGCAACTGGCGCCAGCGCTCGCCATTGCTGACGGCCAAACCTGAAAGGACACATGCCAATGGAGAGCTGACTTTTTATTCACTGAAGGCACATACGGTCATCAGACATCAGAAGTACATCGTCAGAAAACATGTTAAAAATCATGGAACTGCATTTGGGATACTTAACACCAAAGACATGTTGGCATTCAAAGTTCAAAAAAATATTACTTTAGAATTGTATTTATTTATTTTTTTTGTTATTGTTCGAATTTTTCTAAAAATAGTATCACTTTATTAACAACAATTTCGGGACCCCCCATTTTGTGGACCCCCAAGTAACAGCTCCTGTACCCTCGTTTCAGAACCACTGCTTAAAAGGGTGACAAGAGAACCTGAGACCTTGGAAGTCAAACTGTATATTGCAGCAGTTTACCATAGCCTTTGGTGGCCCGGACCAGGAACGGAAACGGTCCTCTTCCGGTGAAATCGTCTGCTTGGTCCACAAGTGCTTCCTTGACGGTGTTGAAACCGACCAGGACAACGGCTCTGCGCCAGCCCAAATTCACGGTGAGGACAGGTCCGTAGTGCTTACTCAGCTGCAGATACAACATACAGTAAGTAGTCATTCCAGTTCAGATACAGCACACAGTCAACACAAAAGGTGTTGAAACTCCTGAGAACTTTGACAACCAAAATATATTTTTGAGATTCAGCCAGCCGCCGCCATTGCCAAGCCATATCAGTAAAGTATAATACAGTATTACATATTCTCTTTTGCATGAACACTTCACTATGATCATAATTTTCTATAAACATGTGGCTACAAAAAGCAAAGTGTGGAGAGAGTCTGTTGCCAAAAATGCATGTGAGCTTTTGCAACCAAAATTACATTTCTGTCTATGAAATCAGGATGAATACAGTGAATGCTCGTACAGTCAGAGCTCGGCACCTGCAGATTTTCAGCTACTGGCTGATTTTTTTTCCCCATATTTAATTGTTTTGTAGAGTCACTGCTGGTGTAGTGCTGCAAATTCCTGACTTGTGTGCGGTCAGCGTGGGGTCGGTTCCCCACTCAGTGACTGTGAAATCCCCAAACGTCAGATGGGATTGGCACTGGCAACTCCCTGCGAACCTGTTCAGGATAAGTGGGGTTGAAAATTGAGGAGTTTAATTGTTTTTTTTTTTTGGAGGGAAGGAGTGGAATACGGTTACTTCCCATTTTTCAAGATTTTTGGGGATTAAAAAAAATCTTTCAATGCATTTATAATGGGTGTCAATAATATATACTGTACTGTATATGCATTTTTAAACAAAAAAAGGTCAAAATTCATTCAGAGCCATGTCCCCCCAAAAATGGGAAGAAGTGGAGGGGAAAAAAACAAGAAAAAAAGACGTTTGAAAAATGCACACGCACACAATACATCTGCCTCGTAGTGCAGATTTTCGGAATGTGGGAGGAAACCCAAGTACCAGGAGAATACCCACGCAGGTACATGTAAACTCCACACAGGTAGACCCGGGCCGGATTCGAACAAACGACCGCTGCACCCTCAGTCCGATGTGCTCACCAGTCGATGTTAACATATCACAATTTGTTGTGTGGTAGTGGTTGTGCTCACCTCGAGGAAAGTTTTAAAAGGCGCTCTCTTGTCCAGTTGGTGCAGGTTTCCAACGAGAGGAAGACGAGGAGGTCCTGGAGGTAAAGGCGCTGTCAAGTTGCTGCGACACTTGAGCAAGCACAGACACAGCAAAAGCACAGTTGCGCCCAAAAGCAACACAAGCTCCATGCTTGCTGCGCTCCAAGAGATTCGAGTCCTGGAGCAGATTTCAGGTCTGCTGACCTTTATGTAACTCGCATACACCTTTATCCCACATTCGTGTTGCAAGCTGTTGTTGTTAAAAAAAAATCAGATGGCAACATTGCCTTGTACGTTAACGCCCACTTTTGGACTTTGTTTTACACGGACTTCTAAACAAGCCGCTATGACAATACATATGAACACCACTCACAGCAAATGATGCCACAGTATTTATATTTATTGCAAAATGAATGTTTGAATAACACTTGGACACAGTAAACGTGTGTGGTTACGTGACCACAGAGAGCGAGGACATAAGAAATGCAGCTAGCCAGAAGTGATGTGTCGGTCGCGAACGAGCCGGTAAAAAGAGCACCCTCCCTCGAGAGCCGGCTGTCATTTTATTTCTCTCTCTCTCTCTCTCTCTCTCTCTCTCTCTCTCTCTCTCTCTCTTTCTTTCTTTCTTTCTTTCTTTCTTTTTCCACGTGTCTGGCAGTGGCTCGGCTGCCGCGCTCAGAGAGGTAGACCAGTAGAGAAAGGGGAGGGGCGAGGGGCTTGGTAGGGACTGCACGGAGTGCACGCCGAGCACATGCTCCGTCGCGTCTGCGCAGCCACAGACAGACTAAGGAATAGAGGGCTCCGTCCGATTATCAATTACCCACAATGCACTACCGGCGGCCATATTGGAGAGCTGTTATAAACAAGCCATACACGTGTATCATAAACAAATAAACTATTCCAGCGGAGTTGCCCTGATCAACAAAGCATCCTGAAACAATGAATTATGTTGGCTTGCACTTTTGGTAGTGTGCGTAATGGGTGTTTTATTTGCACTTTATTCACGATCGCCAAGAACAGCGGTGTCAAACATACGGCCCGCGGGCCTGAACCAGCCCGCAAGGAGGTTTGATCAGGTCCGCAGCATATTTTAAAAGTGAAAAAATGCACAAAAGACACGGAATGAATATTTTTAATAAGGTGCAATTCATGGAATATCCGCTAGGGGGACACACTGTTTTGATCAGAGGAAAAGACAACATTGTTTTGATCAGAGAAGAAGACAACAGCAGCCTCAGTCTGTCACTGAGACAGACCCAACACAGCAGACGCTATCAAGGACATGTGAATACTTTATTCTTTACACATATTCTCACACTCTCCTTAGTTTGTAAGGTGTAGGCAGGGATTACATTTAGATTTTATATGCTCGTGTAAAATGGTTTAAAAAGTCCTTTCTTTATGAATCTCGTTTAATCTTAAAAGTGCATTACTATATTTTTCAAGACCAATTACTTGTT